CCTCCGCATACCTGACATCAGTGGAGGAAGCTCGACCAGGATTGGGAGAAACCTCCCTCCTTCATGGAGCTGGAAGAGTGGGAAGAGGACACTTGGAGAACTGAAAAAGAGAGGAAAAAGAACCCCCACTTTTTCAAAGGATCCTCTACCTCTCGGCTAGAAACTCACAAAAGCAGCAGCTCTGCCTCTCGGCTAGAGACTGTTCGCCGAAGCGCCCTCGACCTGCTCGGCGGCAGGGAGCCGAGTGTGCATAGCCGCCTCTCATTCCCTGTAGCCGAGGCCCGAACTTCCCAGCTAGGGACGAAACCAATCTTACCTCTCTAAGAGGGCAGAGCGCGGTCCCTTCGGCTAGGAACAAGGGCAAGGTCGTGATGCTTCCTACCAGTTCTCCATTTGAGCAATGGATTCTGGAAGAGCATGTGCCGACGGTTAAAATCCCGTCGCACATTACATACGATGGAACTTCGGATCCGAAGGACCATATTGCCTCTTACGACCTGGTGCAAATATTTTCCCACTACTCTCAAGGGGGTCGCGCAAGCGTGGATCTCCAAGGGAGTGAAGGAAGGCTCTATAACGGGGTGGGACGACCTGTCTACCAAGTTCAAGAGCAAATTCTCCACGGCAAACCGCCGAGAGAAAACCACTGCAGAGCTCATGGGCCTGCAGCAAGGGGAGACCGAGAGTCTCCGGGACTACCTGACTCGTTTCCCAACTGGACCAAGGGCTGGCCGTCTTTGCAATGCAGAACGGCCTTCAGCCAGAAAAGTTCATTGACTCCATGGTAATGCATCCTCCGCAGACCCTGGAGGAGGCTCTGAACGCTTTGGATAAATTTATCCGAGCCGAAGAATGGAACAAAACAAAATCCCAACCCCAGTCTGGGGGTGGGAAGCAAAAACAATCGTCCGAAGGCCAAGGCCAGAAGGCGAAGGGTAAGGCAAAAGCCTCCGAACAATCTTCGGCTAACGAGCCGAAGAAGGAAAAGTCTGCTCCCTTCACGGGGAGATACGAATCCTATACTCCGTTGGCCCTCCCGCGCGCTAAAATTTACAGCGTGACGAAGGAAGAGCAGAGCTACAAGAAGCCGAGACCGCTCCCAGAGTGGTATCAGCGCAAAAATAAAAAATCAGTGGTGTGAGTTCCACGAATCACCGGGACACAACACTGAAGAATGTATCCAGCTGAAGGACCAAATCGAGGATATGGTCCGGAAGGGATACTTGAAAAAATACATCGCGGATCACCGCGAGAAAAAAAGAGGCCGAGAAGTCTGAGAGGGACTCTCGGCAAGAGCTTTATTTCCCCCGAAAGAACAGCAAAAATGCGGAGGGAAAATTTCCTCCAATCAACGTTATCTCGGGAGGAATATGTTCTCGGAGGGAGCACAAGCGTCACCTTAGGGATCTGACCCACCAGGTGAATAATGCTAGTATTCAGCCGCCCCAATCACCGGTGCCGAACATGACGTTCACATCCGCCGACTGTCGGGGGGTGACGTACCCTCATGAGGATCCGTTGGTGATTATCGCCACGGTGGCCAACCACGACGTCAGCAAGGTTCTTGTTGATGGTGGCAGCGGAGCAAACATTTTGTTCCGAAAGGTCTAAAACCAAATCAAGCTGAAGCCCAAGCACCTCACGCCGGTACCCTACCCGGTATCCGGATTTAATGGGGCTTCAACTTATCCAGACGGGAAGGTAACACTTCCTGTCACCATCGGCTGTGATAAGGCAGCCAGGAACGTCATGACCGAATTCTTGGTCATCGACGCTTCTTCTGTGTACAACGTGATCATGGGGAGACCCATCATTCACGAGATCCAAGGGGTAGTCTCGACATACCACCAGCTGATGATCTATGTCTCGGATGCTGGCTACCCCGAAAGGATCGAGGGCAGCCAAAAGGAGGCCCGAAGGTGCAACTACCTCAAGCCATCCACCAGTCGTACAAAAGATGACAACGAGGATGAGGAGGAGAAAGATAGGCAGCCGAGCGCAAAGAAGCCGAAGGGCCTAAGTGCTTCGACTCAAGGAGACCTGGCCAAAGAAAAAGGGCTAGGAAAAGAAAAGGCTAGCTCATCATCTGAGCCGAAAGACTCAGAGAGCCAGCCGAAAAAGAAAAAATCTAGAACTCCTGCTGACATAGACAGCAGGACAGAAAGCGAAGAGTCCAGCTGCACAATAATGGAGCTGGACCAGCAGACCAAAACAGTCGAGTTAACCGAAGGAGACACCAAAAAATGCGTTACAATCGGGCTGGATCTTGATCCGAAAGTCCGCGTTGAGCTCATCCAAATACTTTGGGACAACCGAGATGTGTTTGCTTTCTCGGCAACTGACATGCTCGGGATAAGTCCAGACCTCATCTCTCATAAGCTTAACGTCGACCCAACATGTCGGCCAGTTAAGCAAAACAAGCGGAATTACTCTGCAAATAAGAACCGAGACATCGCAGCCGAGGTCAAAAAGTTGCTGGATGCAGGCTTCATCGAACCATGTCAGTATCCGAAATGGCTGGCTAATGTGGTGATGGTTCAGAAGGCGAATGACACCTGGAGAATGTGCGTTGACTTCACGGACCTAAATAAGGCATGTCCGAAGGATTTCTATCCCTTGTCGAGGATCGATCAGCTAGTCGATTCAACAAGTGGCCATGCTTTGCTTAGTTTCATGGACGCATTTTCTGGGTATCATCAGATCTTCATGCACCCCGACGACCGAGAAAAGACGGCATTCCTCACGAACGCCGGGGTGTACAATTACAAAATGATGCCCTTCGGATTGAAAAATGCGGGGGCAACTAACATATCAAAGGCTGGTGGACCAAGTTTTTGCCGATCAAAAAGGCCGAAACATGGAAGTCTATGTCGACGATTCCATCGTCAAAAGCAAAAAAGATGAAGACCATGTTAAGGACCTGGCGGAAACTTTCGCCACTCTAAGAAAGCACCAGATGAAGCTGAATCCGAAGAAGTGTGTCTTCGGAGTGATATTCCTTGGGTTCATGGTCAGCAAAAGAGGGATTGATGCCAATCCCGCTAAGGTGCGGGCAGCGCTCGATCTTCTCGAGCCGAAAACAAAGAGGGGTGTTCAGCGGCTCACCGGAAGAATGGCAGCCCTCTCGAGGTTCATCTCCAGGGCCTCGGACAAGGGGTTACCTTTCTTCAAAGCCCTGAAACTCCCGAAAACAAAAGAGCTCGTTTGGGAGGACGAGCAAAGGGAAGCCTTTAAGCAGCTTCGGGAGCATTTACTCAACTTCTGACACTGGCTAGCCCAGTAGAGGGAGAGTCCTTGTACTTATACGTGGCTGTCAGCCCAGCCACCATCAGTGCAGTGCTGCTGAGGGAAGAAAACAAAGTTCAGCAGCCGATCTACTTCGTCAGCCACACTCTGACGGATGTAGAGACCTGCTACCCCTTACTCGAAAAAGTTACTTATGCAGTGGTGGTAGTTGCTCGGAAGTTAAGACCCTATTTCGATTGCCATCAGATAGTGGTCTTAACTGATCAGCCGCTGGAAAAAGTTCTCGGCAATGTTGAAAAATCTGGTAGGCTGGCCAAATGGGCTTTTGAGCTCACGGAATTCAGCATCAGCTACCAGCCGAGGGCGGCCATAAAGGCTCAAGCTCTAGCGGACTTCCTGGCCGAATGCTCATACCAGGAGACGCTAGACGATGAAAAGAAAACCTGGACCGTTTTCACGGATGGATCCTCCACCGTAAATGGTTCAGGGGCAGGGGTGGTCATAACCTCTCCTGAAGGCAAGTCCTTCGAGTATGCACTAAAATTTTCATTCAAAGCTTCGAACAACGAAGCCGAATATGAGGCGGCAATTGCTGGCCAAGAATTGTGCATCTCGCTGGAAGCCGAACATGTTTGTCTGAAGACAGACTCTCAGCTAGTTGCATATCAGATTGGTGGCCTAGTCATTAAATGATTCAATATGCCAAGGTCAAGGCCCAAGCCTCCATTTAGCCAAGTCAATATAAATTCAGCGGCCCAAATAGTCATGGTCAGCCCATGATGATGTCCGACCCGCCTCCTCTCTTTGCCAAGCTAAGGTATAAAAGCCTTCAATTGCACCATTTATCATTCATTCACATAAAAGCCTCAAGCATTAATTCTCTTGCATAACTTTCTCTAAACACTGTTTGACTTCGGCATCAGATGGGTCTTCCTCAAATCCACCCCCGGGGCCAGTTTTACGTGTGTTTGCTGTGCAGGAAACCTTCGGCCCAGCATCATTTGGACCGGACTAGTCTTCATCCACTTCATTGGACCTTCGACGAGGTCCCATTGTTTTCACCCGAAACAGTAACTAAAAGCTAAACGCGAGTAATAGACCACATTGGTCATGGGTCATTCCACTAGTCTTACTTCTTTATCATTTTAAGTTCGAATTGCAATAATAAGCATTTTTAATACAATACCATTATAGATATTCATAATTAAGCGAACAAACTATAAACATTTTTATTTGTTTAAGTTCATATTTTTACCCAACTCAATTTAGAAGCAATAAGCCCAAAATTAGACTACGAGGACATTAATAAACATAATCAAATTAGTAATCTAAACTCTAAATGTCCTATTGTTTTGTTCAAATCGAGTTAAATCAGGTCATTATCGATTTAAAAATAAGTCAACCCCAAATTGTTCACATATATAGATGAGTCGAACTGTCTTAGGGTGATTTGGTTACCTATACAATTGGGTCGTGTTATGGTTACTTAAATGATCAAATCAAATTCAGATTTGATCATTTATTTTCATTTGTTCTAATTTGGTCCATTTTCAAGTCATAATCCATGTTTAATACCCCATATTAAATTCGATTTGATCGGATTTCATCATCTATTTTCAGTTGTTCTAATTTGGTCATTTTTCACGTCATAAATCATAATCTATGTTTTAACTCCCCAAATTATTACGTCAATTCAAATCGGATAAGAAAATAAAATGAATTAATCAATTCAAAATTATAACAGAAACAACAAATTACGAAATTATTTACTTTTCATTGATCAAAGATTACACCATACACAAACCCTAAACTCTTTTAATCACATAAACCACAAATCATCATCACCTAAAAAACACCAACAACAATCACATCATTTCCCAGATTTTCCCCTAAGTTTAACACCAAGAACTCTCTCCATTTTCGCAAGAACCATATGATTAGGAACAGCTTTACCATTCTCATACTCCTGAACAACCTGAGGTCTTTCATTGATCTGCTTCGCTAACTCAGCTTGACTCATCTTCTTCTCAATCCTCGCCTTCTGAATCGCCAATCTCACCTCTGTCCCCACCTTAGCAAGCGCAGCTGGTTCGGTCTCCTCGTCGAGCTTCCGCGCATTGACAGCCGTTGCAGTGGCCTTCTTGTTAGTTCCTGCGACGGCTTTCTTGACGGTTTCGACGGGTTTACCGGAGCGTAGAGCTTGGTTGACTGCCTTCGGGTCGCGAAGGTCTTGGGTTTTGGGTCGGGTTTTGTGGATGACGACGGGTTCCCAGTCTTGAGAGATCGGGCCGGATGATCGGGTTGGCATTGTTGTGGAGGATTCTAGAGAGGAGAGAGAATTTGATTTTGAGTATTATTTTTTTGATGATATTTTTGAAATGATTTTGAAGGTGGTAAGAGAAAAAGATGATGGGTACTTATAAAGAGAAGGGTGTCTGGAATGTTCTTGGAGAAATGGGGGGAGATTTTTTCATGGATATAGAGGATGGTAGAAGGTTCTAGGTAGTGGAAAGTCTAGAAGGTGGGATTTTTGTGGGCTGGGTTTTTACTATTTTGGGGAGGTCTCTTGGGGATCAAGCAAAAGGGTAGATGGTAGAATGGAATTTTGGAGGTCAATAAGTTTTCAACGGTTTTTTTTTTTTAAAAAAATAATAAATTATTTTCTCAATAGTTATACTGAACTGATTAAAGATAAACTGAAATTAAGCTGAAGAGAACAACCTTCAAGTTGAAGATATTTATGTTTTAAAATGTTAGTAATTATGAAAATGCAAATACGGCAAACAAATATGGACGGAGGTGGTATATGAGTCATCCTAAAACTCAATGCAATCTTTGATGCTTGATTTTTTTCCCCTATATATTTAATGATTAACTTGTATCTTATGTATGTAGTAATTATTCTACTTTTAAAGAAAGAAGGCAGTGTGAGGTTCTTATTTCTTATAGGTGTGGGTACGTTGCAATGTACAGACATTTTGCGGAAAGAACATACTATTAAAATGTAATGAGCATTTACCTAGAGTGAAAAGAACATACTATTACAATATAATGAACATATACCTAGAGTGAAAAGAATTACTATTAAAATGTAACAAACATATACCCAAATTGAAAATAGCATATTATTTGCACTAAGAAAGAGTGAAAAGAACATGTGTCCATGTTATTTGAATATAGTGTAATGTACTTTTATTTGTGATATAATGTCCATTGCTTATTGTGAAATATTCTTTGAATTTTGTCTTAAATTATGGTAGATATATACATATAATTTTCATTAAAATTCGATGTTTTTCATTAATATTAAAGATGTTCTTTAGATAAAAAAAAATTAAAAATAAAATAAAATTGGATGCTCATTACAAAACAACGGTATGTTCTTTACAAAATACTCCGTAGTTACATATTTTTCCGCGTTTTTTGTTTGTACCAAACGAGGTATAGGCTGTTGTAATTTTCAGAAAGATGGGTGTTTTGCTTTTTTAAAGCTGACATTATCATCTCACCCTTTTGCTATAAAGAAAATTTATATGCTTAAGCTGAGCCCATTGGGCCACATACAAATGCATATAGCTGGGCCTATCGGGCGATATATAATAGAAACTTTGGGTTTTGATATCCTCAATAGGCTAAACTAATAAGAAAATACAAAAACCAACCATAGCCATAGGCTAACATTTCAAATACTATAATATAGGCTTACATAGTTACATTTACATTTAATATAGGCTAAAATAATGTTATACTATAATGTTTCTCAAAAAAAAAAAAAATGTTGTACTCTATACTATAAAAGTTAGAACCTATAAATCTGCTAAAAAAAAAAAAGAAGCTATAACCTATAAAGGTTGTCCATGTATGTGTTTTTGTTAGCTTTCATGGGATAAGTATCCAAAGAGAATAAATTCATTTCAAATAGTCCATAGGCTTACATTTAATATACACAACATACTTATAAAATAACCTTACATATCCAACCAAAACCAATTTCATCCTCTTAAAGACTTGAACATAGGAAAAAATTTAGGAATGTAATTAATATTCCAACCAAATCTCGCAAACCCAAACCTAGCTAGCTAGCACTAATCCTAATTTGGCTTAATAATTTGCTTGATTATAGCAAATAAAAATACACTTAACTACTTAAGTACTTATATATTTCACAAACCCTTTTTTCCCACTAACCTAACCAAGGGGCAGGAAAATATGCATGCATGCATATACTAGACATATATAATTTAATTAATTAATTTTGGTACATATATATAGAAGTCCTTAATTACTATTAAGAATCCAGCACCTTAGTAATGACATTAAGGACCTCATCATGAGCAGTCAAGTGTGGGAAATGACCATCAACATCGATGATTTCGACCCTCGATTTAGCATTGATCATCTTCTTCTGCATATAGTAAGGCACGGATGAGGGGACTACAAGGTCATTGGTGGTGCTAATGATGGTGCAAGGTGTGTCAACTTTCTCAAGAACATGGCGGTAGTCGCCGAGGAAGATGATCTTAGCAACAGCTAGGGCAACTTCTGGCTTCATTTTCTTTAAACTCTTCTCAAATTTCTCACTTAGTTGAGGCTCTTTTCCTCCTACGGCTAAAGGAGCAAATGCTGCGGCCCAAGGTTGGAAATTTGATTCTATTGTTGAGATGAGTTGCTCAATTTGTGTTGCCTCAAATCCTCCTTCATAATCTTCTGAATTTATGTACCTATTTTTATTAATTTAGCATGCGTTAGATCGTATTGACGATTTTATGAATTGAATTAGACGACTTGATAACTTTTACGTAGTGCATAAATAAGATGGTATGGATTATTATAACATATTATTCGTAGACAATGATGACATCAGCGGTTGTTATGTTAGTATAGATGTATAGATTGAAGACTTGAAGTCTGAACAAACTCTTGGGCTTAAATGGGCCAAAAGCTCACATCAGACTATCAGAGTATGAATACTCAATAGCTGTCATTTAACATTAACCAAACAACTCCTCCGTCTAATAAAGACAAAGCTCCACATGAATAAGAAGTCTAGGAATTTTTTATTATTTTTTTAATAGTATACATAATCTAGACATGTCAAACTCAAGCATATGAGTGTCATATAGGATTTTATTATTAAGATTAAATATTGATTTTTTTGTACACACCACAACAATTATGTGAAAGCTAAGGTTGATATTTATAGCTTAGTATGATTATCTATAAATATTGTCCATATCCAAATAAACAAAAAAAAATGTATACTTCCAAATACTCTATTTAGCATGAAAACTGAATCATAATGGAAAGAAATCAGATTTATTTTACAGAAAAATAGAAATAAATTATAATGAATATGTACTAAATTAGCAAATATGGATAGCTAATTATAGCTTTTCTAAAATAAATATATGAATGAGAGGTTTTCATTTTATTATATTTAGCCTAAAACCAAGCAAGCTTAGCCAACTCACAAAGAAATCAAAACATAATACTCCAATAATTAGGCATTAAATTCAGGTAGAAAATTAAATATGTGTAATCCACCCATGCATGAAATTAATCCACATTAAACCAAATAAAACACACTAATTATTAATTAAACATCAAATTAAAATTTCTTAAATAAGTATATATGTAGAATAAATTAATTAAATTACCTGGGAGATGCTCCAATGAGTATAAGCTTGGTAAAAAGATGAGGCCTCTTGATGGAAGCAATACAACCAATCATACCAGACATTGAATGACCAACAAAAACACATGATTTAATGTTCATTTCATCCAATAAATTCACCAAATCATCAGCAAAACATCAAGAGAATTATACTGTAAAGGATCAAAACCATGACTATTATTCTCATGATTATTAAAAGCACCAGAAAAGTTCCAATCAAAAAGAACAACTTGGTGCTTTTCCTGTAAGCCAGGAACAATCTTTTCCCATATAGATTGTTCTCCACCATATCCATGTCCTAGAACAATCACCTCGTCTTCGCCCCCGGTACCGAGGATTTTTGCATTCATGGATGTTGATAAACCCTTTAACATCACCATTATATTGTTGAAACTAAGAAAAAATATTTTTTAGAATTTTTTTTTTTTTTTTTTTATAAAATAAAATTTTGGGGGGGGGGGGGGGGGGGCTGAAGTAGAGAAGTTGTATGTGTAGGGCAATGAGTTGAGGATGGGAGAAAGGGGTTTGGGTTGTCTTTATATAGGAAAGGTGATTGAAGTCATTCATTAAATTAAGGGGCCGTTTGGTTGACAGAAGGGAATCGGAATGGAATGAACAAAGGGAATGAAATGGAATGGAATGGCAAAGTGGAAAATTTGGAAGGTTGTTTGTTACAAAAACCAGGGAATCATTCCCTCCACCACAGCACCACCACCACAGCGCAGCCCCGACCGCCGCCGAACCCTCACAGACCTCCGCCGACCGTCGCCGACCCATCCCCGAGCATCGCCGACCATCCAGCCCCCATCGCCGACCGTCAAACTCCCTCCCCGATGCTCCAGCCCCCTCCCCGATGCTCGAACTCCCTCGCCGACAGTCGCGCCCCCCTCACCGACGGTCGCTGACCCCTCGCCGACCCTCCAGTCCCCCTCGCCGACGGTCGCTGACCACCACCGACCACAGCACCACCTCGAATTCCCTCCCCGATGCTCCAGCCCCGCTCCCCGACGCTCGATCTCCCTCCTCCACCACAACACCACATCGCCGACCACTCCCCGGTGCTCGCCGAGCCTCCCCGACCACTCCCCGGTGCTCGCCGACAGTCGCCATCCGACCACCACCGGCGTATATGGGTGTTAGTGTTAGGGTTAGGGTTAGGGTTAGGGTGGGTGGGGAATGGAATGGGAAAGGGGGGGGGGTGGGGAATGGGGAAGAGGGGTTTTGGGGTATTTTGAAAAATGAAATGGGGGAATGATTGAGGGAAAAAGTGGCAAACAAACATGTTAAAAGGGAATGATTCCCATTCCCTTTCCTAAAACCAGCGAACCAAACGGCCCCTAAATGGAACACTTGGGTTATATAGGCCACTTAAAGCTACCATTTTTTTTATATAATATTATTATTTTATGAATAAATATATCATGTAATAGATTGATATTTTTCATGATAAAATAAAATGTGTCGTTTATTGGATAATTGTGATAGAATGCTGAGTAGTTTATTATTTTGTATAATATATGAAGTATAATACATACAACTTTAACTAAAGACATGCATTTTAATTTACAAGCTACAAAGATATATGCATACACCAACAAAATGTCCAGTTCAACTAATCATGCAGTAGATTTAATAAAATGAAAAAAAAAAAAAAAAAAACTTATTTTTTAATCAATATATACACAATACTACATAGACTTCATTAGTTTAAAACTTTAAAAGCTAGTGTATGTTCGATATTATGAATTTTCTGATTTGAAATTTGATATAATACTGTATGAATAATTTATCTAAAAGTTACTCTGTAAACTTTACTTTTTGGGTTTCAAAATCTTGATTT